TTGGTAATGAAGAAGAACTGTTCCTATCTGACAATGACATGATACTATACATAGAAAACCCAAAATACTCCATGAGAAAACTACTGGAACTAATAGAAAGATTCAGCAGAGTTGCAGGATACAAGATAAACATACAAAAATCAACTGGATTCCAATACACCAATAAAGAGAATGACGAAAAGGAAATCAAGAAAATAATATCATTTATAATAGTGCCCCCAAAATAAAATACTTAGGAATATATCTAACGAGGGATGTAAAAGACCTATACAAAGAAAACTACAAAACACTACTGCAAGAAACTAAAAGAGACCTACGTAAATGGAAAAACACACCATGCTCATTGATATGTAGACTTAACATTGTGAAAATGACAATTCTATCCAAAGCAATGTACAAATACAATGCAATCCCAATCCAAATACCAACAGCATTCTTTAAAGAGATGGAAAAACTAATCTTTAACTTTATGGAAAGGGAAGGGCACCAGATAAGTAAAGCACTATTGAAGAAGAAGAACAAAGTAGGAGGACTCACACTACCTGACCTCAGAACCTACTATACACCTATGGCAGTCAGAACAGCCTGGCACTGGTACAACGACAAACACATTGACCAATGGAACAGAATTGAGAACTCAGATGTAAATCCATCCACTTACGGTCACCTGATGTTCAACTAAGACCTAAATTCCACCAAATGGGGAAAAGACAGTCTTTTTAACAAATGGTGCTGTCAAAATTGGATGTCAATCTGCAAAAAAAGGAAACAGGACCCATGCCTCAAACCATACACAAAAACTAATTAAAAGCGGATAGAAGACCTAAATAAAAAACCAAAAACTATAAAGATCATAGAAAAAAAATAAGGTCAATGCTAGAGGCCCTAATACACACATTGACAGGATACAAACCATAACTGATAATACACAAACACCAGAAGATAAGGTAGATAACTGGGATCTTTTAAAAATTAAACACTTATGCTCATCAAAAGACTTCAACAAAAGAGTTAAAAGAAAACCTACAGACTGGGAAAAAATTTTCAGTATGACAAATCTGACAAAGATTTAATCTCTAAAATCTACAAGAAAATGCAACACCTCTACAAAAAGAAGACAAATAATCCAATTAAGAAATGGGCAAAGAATGTGAACAGACACTTCACCAAGAAGACATTGAAGCAGCTAACAAACACATGAGGAAATGCTCTCAATCACTAGCCATTAGAGAAATGCAAATCAAAACCACTATGAGATACCATCTCACCCCTGGCATTACTGGCAAGAATTAAAAAAACAGAAAACAACAATTGTTGAAGAGGCTGCGGGGAGATTGGAACTCTTATGCACTGCTGGTGGGAATGCAAAATGGTATCACGATTTTGGAAAATGATATGACGCTTCCTTAAAAAACTAGAAATAGAAGTGCCATATGATCCAGCAATCCCAATACTAAGAATATATCCTAGAGAAATAACAACTGTCACACCAATAGACATATGCACACCCATGTTCATTGAAGCATTGTTAACAATAGTAAAAAGTTGGAAGCAACTTAGGTGCCCATCGAGAGGTGAATGGATAAACAAACTATGGTGCATACACACAATGGAATACTACTCAATGATAAAGAACAATTTTGAATCTTTGAAGCATCTCACAACATAGGTGAATCTGGAGGGCACTATGCTGAGTGAAATAAATCAATCATTAAATGACAAACATTGTATGAGACCATTACTATAAAAACTCATGGAAGGTTTACACACAAAAAGAAACAATCTTTGATGGTTACCAGGCAGGGCAAGAGATGGAGGAGGGAAAAGCACTATTTAAAGAGATAATAGATAAGTGGTAACTTTTATGAAAGGTAAGACAGTACACAATACTGGGGAAGCCAGCACAGCTTGTCCAAGGCAAGGTCATGGAAGCTCCATAGCCACAACAAAACTCCCTGAGGGACCAAATTACAGGGGTGAGGGTTGTGGGGACCATGGTTCTGGGAAATACTGGCTCAATTGGTACAGTATAGTTTATAAAGAAAATGTTCTACATTTTACTTTGGTAAGAAACATCTGGAGTCTTAAAATCTTCTGTGTGACCATCTAATATACTCCACTGGTCTCACCCCGTCTGAAGCAAAGGAGAATGAAGAAAACCAAAGACACAAGGGAAATATTAGTCCAAAGGACTAATAAACCACAACTACCACAAGGAGGGGACAGGAATGCTGGTAATAGGAAACCCATGGTCAAGAAGGGTGAGTGTTGACATGTCATGGGGTTGGTAACAAATGTCACAAAACAATATGTATATTAATTGTTTAATGAGAAAATAGTTTTCTCTGTAAACCTTCATTAAAGTACAATAAAAAAGAGGAAAAAATAAATAAAATTATTTTAAAATTAAAAATATATCTAAGATAGTATTTTAAAAATGGTTCCAAGAAGAAATGTCACCAATTTCTAGATTCTGGAGCCAGAGGGGGATATTTGAGTTATAACACACTGTCCCCACTAAATCATTGTGTGACTCTTAGGACATTCAGGCATAGTTTGCAAAATCTTAGAAGTTGAATGTCTCTAACTTTGTAGAGGTAGTGGAAGGTGGTATTATGAGTGTAGCCTGTCACATTTCTTTGTGACCCATGAATGAACCTTATGCTTAGGTCAAGATGTGTTGGCCTAGTATTTTGGATGGCGTATAAGTGTGGGCTAACTCCCTTTCTCTGGCATCTGGAGCCAAAACACATCCCGTAACAAGTAATAATCTATCAGCACATCACTCGCTTCTTCTCCTGAACACATGTCAACATTCTCATAACTGTTAGCTAAGCATGTGCATTGTATGGCACCTAGTCAACCTAACTGCTATATCTGATCTGGGTGGGGAAGGAATAGGGTCTTTCTCCTGCAGCACAAGAAGGGTGTATGCGGACCACCTCCTTGCATTGGCTATACAGAGAGACCTGCTGGCCATGGGAGAACAATGTCCACTACTGAAGTTTATCTTGCTGTCTTTTTTCTATGTGAGTAAAGAACTATTCCTTCCAGTGCCTGTGTGAGTCATGCCTTTTTTGGTGACCCCAACACCTGCAGACTATGGTGTGGCTTATGATCCTCCACGTGATGATACTCCTTCCATAGGTGATAACAAGTGTGTCATTAGCTCAACAGAGATAAAAAAAGAAAGACATGGGTGCAAAGTCCTTTGGGTAGTTTTATTATAGAATTGAGCCCATCTGAGGATTAAAATCAAATACATAATTACTGTGTGATATTAGAATATTGAGATAGATTATGTTTATTGGTGCTAAGTATGGTCAGTATTGCTTTCTCTTTGAATATTTAGAATCATTGGAGTTAAACTAATCATCAGCATTTATGCAGGAAGTTTGCAAGTTGAATCATGTAGGAAATTTCTTATAGCGTAATATGTTGTCTATTTATGATTTGGTGGATAGAATTCGTTTCATTCATTACTTGTTACTTTATGAGAAATCATCCTAATCAAAAAAAAAAAAAATTAAGATGGTTTAAGATGATCCACTTGATGGTTTGGTTTCCAAAAACATCATTCATCTGAAAGGGGAAACTGCAAGAACTGAGTGAGAATGTAGCTTAAAACAAAACAAAAAATGGCCTTATTTCATGATATGCAGCAAAATTGTTTCCTACAGAATTAAATTATAGGTAATGAGCTATAAATATCCGTGAGTCAAGTGTGTTGACAGTCTCAAAGTTTAGATAATTCATCTATTCCTTAGTTTAACAAATATTTATTGAGATATTAGCATGAACCAGGCTACAATGAATGTACTGAAGGTGAAGTTGTTAGTAAAGCAGACAAAGGCACTGCCCCTGTGGAGTGTACATTCTATTTAGGGCAGATAGGGGAACAGTTGAACACATAGGTAATAATAATAATTGAGTAACCATCAAGACTATGAAGAATAAAATGGTAAGGTGACAGTGTGCATCAGAAAGTGGGTGTCTATAATATGGCAACACTTAAGCAGAGACCTGAAAGGAGTGAAGGTGCATTCCCACAGAGGGATCAGCAGGTAAAAAGCCCTGACTCAGGAACATGAGTAGAGTTGTCCAGGTATAGCATGGGATCAGTACGAATGGAGTGAGGCCAAAGAGCAGGAGAGTGATAAGATGATATAGCTCAACCAGAACTAAAGTATCCATGAATGATTGGCATTAGCCATTTCATGTCATTTCCAGTAAGTAATATGGTTAATATTTTCATTACTCTCAATATTTTTTTACAAAATCTGAAGGGTTGGTAGTCATGTACAGGTAAGCTAAAAAACGCTCTTATTATATATCTTCTTTTCATGCACTCCAACTTTTCCCTTTTGAAAATTATCATGTCACCATACGGTTTCCACCAAATGATTTAGTGAAGACAGAAAAATTAATTCCTTTAATATGTTATATAACTCTGAATAAAATATGTCAACAAAGGGCAAATACCTTTCATTAAAAATTCATATTTTTTTCCCCATTTTGGACTCTTGGAAGTTTTTCAGCCAGAGAAACAAATACCATTATCATGAGTTTATATTCTGATTTCTAAATTGGTTTCTTTTATTAAAAAGTGGTGATATTTCATTTACCTAATTTTAAAAATTCCCATTATTCTATGTAAGTGCACACATAGGGTCATTGCGTATACTTCTATGCGTGGATATTTGTGTGCCCGGTTGGACATATATGCTTGCACTGGTGTATGGTAGAAAATATATGAACAAATATAATGTCATTAAAATGGTTTTTGAAAAGCAAAACCCACATATCCTTAAGTTCCACCTTATCCATTCTTGTTCATGTATTACATTTCTGGACATAATGTTTTCTTTTTTCTGGAGAATAGACTTTTGAGGAAGTAAGTGTACCACCTTAGGAATTAAGTGCATTGAAGTCCTTCAAGTGTGAGCCATTGCACAGAGAAAATTAAGGGAATAAGCTAGATTCTTGTGGATTCTACTATATTAAAAAGTTAAGCATGGAGACAATTTTGCCTTCTCAATAACCTTCTGGAATGCACTGTGTACATTCTTGTTCCTCAGGCTGTAGACCAGAGGGTTTATCATGGGGATGACCATAGTATAGAACACAGATGCCATTTTGTCTTTGTCCATGGAATGACTGGAGCTGGGCTGCATGTACACGAAGATGCATGTCCCATAGAAGATGGAGACTGCAATAAAGTGAGAAGCACAGGTGGATAAAGCCTTTCGATATCCTTCAGCTGAGCGCATATTTAGGATGGTTATAAATATGAATAGGTAGGATATCAAGATAACCATAAGAGCAAAAAAGACAATGGAGCTTACCGTAAAAACAAGAACCATCTCAGTAACATGTCTGTCAGAGCAAGAGAGAACCCTGACTGCCGGAACATCACAGAAAAAGTGATGGACCACGTTGGACATACAGAACGAGAGATGGAATGTGACCCCAGTGTGAATGGAGCCATTCACAAAACCACCAACATAGGAACCTATAGCCAGACATACACACAGACCTGTTGTCATGGTGTTGCTGTAATGCAGGGGTTTACACACTGCTGCATAACGGTCATAGGCCATTGAGGCCAACAGGAAATTTTCCACAGAAGCAAATCCTGCAAAAAAGAACATCTGAGCAGCACATGCATTGTAGGAGATGACATTGTCTCCTGAAAGGAACCCAGCCAACACAGTGGGAGTGACAGTTGAAGAGTAACAAAGGTCCACCAGAGACAAGTTACTGAGAAAAAAGTACATGGGAGTGTGGAGACGAGAGTCTGTCAAAATCAACACAATCACCCCCAGGTTCCCAAGCATGTTGATGAGGTAAATGAGAGTGAACATTATAAAGAGGGGGAATTGAAGCTCCGGGGTCTTGGTTAGTCCTAGCAGGATGAACTGAGTGATTTCTGTTCGATTCTCCATTGCTGTTATTTGGTAATCAAGAGATGCCCTGTATCAAGAAGGAATAATAGAACAGAATGGTAAACAGAAAAGAGATTGCAGGGAAATTGAACTGTATAAATATCATGTGCACTTCTTCATTATAGCAATAACTTGTATTTCGAGAGTCTCCATACATAAAACATGGGCTTGACATTTAAATTTAGTGCGTAAGTTTTCTATATATTTATTAGTTGTTAAAGCCTAAGGATCTTCTTGGAATACCTCCTGACTTTTAAATTTTTTAAATTCTTAACTCTGAACTGTAGAAAATGCAGTCACTAGGCCTAGATGACAGATCAGGAATGATATGAACTTCCAACTCAGTTTTTGCAAGCTGAGGGAAACCTTTATATCACTCATGTGCCCACACTGCATTAGACACTTTATAAGCAGATTCATGTATTCCTTTCAACAGCCCTAAGAGGTTGATTAGTTACTATCCCCATCTAACTTATGAGGCACAAAAGGTTTGAGTAATTTATTCGAATTTACAGAAATATTAACTGGCAAAGCCATATTAAGGATCCAGGCACATGTAATTCTCAATGGTCTTGACTGAAATTAAATCAAATTGAATTTAAGTCAATTTAAAATTATCCATTGTCTCCATTAGTCCAAACTCTATGTTTGGGATAACACAGTTAAGAAACTGAGAGATACATGTGTAGTATATATGGTGGTATAACTGTAGCAGTAGGGTCATGCACCCGCAGCACAAGACAGTTCTGAAGGGCATACATAGCATTGGGAATAGAGGTTTGGTGCTGTTAAAAGGTGCATATGTGTTCAATATCAGCTCTATCATTTAATACCTAGCAGTCATTGGTCCTAACCTGACTTCTTAGAGCTCCATTTCCTCCATCTATAAAATAAAGATGGTAGTGAGACTTACTTCAAGGTATTATTGTGAGAATTAAATGAGATAATGCATAAAAGACAATGAGTAAAATTGGGAGCCCAGTAGAGCCTGATGAGTGTTGTTTGTGGTGTTAAGCATCACTAGTTGTCTCCAACTCAGAGTGATCTTGTGTGTAACAAGACAAACATAGCTTGATCCTGCACCAATCTCACAATAACAGGTATGTTTGAGCCCACAGTTGCAGCCACGGTGTCAATCGTTGAGTGTCTCCCGCTTTTTTGAACCCTGTACTTTACCAAGTATGAGTCTTTCTCTAGTGATTGATCCCACCTGTTCATACTGTCTTTTAGGGAGCATTCTGGCCGTACTTCCTCTAAGACGGATTTGTTCATTCTTCTGGCAGTACATGGTGTATTCATTCAATATTCTTCACCAATACCACAATTCAAATGGGTCAATTCTTTGATCTTGCTTTTTCATTGTCCAGATTTCACATGCGATATGATGTGACAGAAAATACTAAGGCTTGGGTCAGGTAGAACTTAGTCATCAAGGTGACATCTTTGCTTTTTAATGCTTTAAAAAATCTTTAGTGGCAGATTTGCCGAATGTAATACTTCAATTAGTGTTAGTGTTAGGTATAACACTAGGTATAATATTAGGATGTAAAGATGGCTTTTATGTTGGTTTTGCAAAAGATGGGTGGTGACGTGCAAGACTCTAAAATGTGTGTGAGTTTTTAATATCTGGTAGCCTCACTTGTCTACTTGCCTTTCATCACGCACTGGGTCCATTGAAATATCCTACCCCCTAGTGTTTCTCATTGCCCTCCAGCCCATACACTGGCTGTGCCAGTATTTCTGTGCAAGCGTTTCTTTTATTTAATTTCTAGGTTGAAATCTATATTTTAGCATGGGTCCAAAGAGTCTGATTTTCTTGACCTCATTCTTTCTCTTATAATTGTTATCCCATAACTGAATCACAGAGATCAAAGTTTGAAAGCTCATAGATTCTAGGTGCATTCTGCCTGCATACCTGTTCTGCTGGCATGCTCAAACTTTTTATATGAATCTTTTCTTGTGCACATGTGACATTTTACATTTTCATTTAAATTTGAAGTCTTAGGGAGGACAGCCATCCTCTGCTAACCACTACTCTCTACCATCTTCCTCCTAATCCTTTCACAGCTTCAATTTACATACTTGGTTTATTAAGGTCTTATGTTTGCCCACCTTTAACACATAACCACTTTAAGCATACATTATTTTCAACAACAAATGACGATCTATGTATATAGACACATCTTTTCAATTAATCTTCAGAGTAACTTTATGTAGTGTTATTATTCCCATTCTTCCATTAAGGATTCAAAAAGTTATGTTATACTCTATTATTACATAGTTTGAGGAAGATTCAAGATCCAAGGCTTAAGTCCACGTCTGACCAAAGAAAATTCCTGTGCTATTTAGCCACCTCACTTGTCAGTATTTGTAGATGTGCTAGTAATAATAAGGATGAGATTACGGAATAAAGGTAAAAATGGAGTATGGATCCTGCTATTCAATTAAAAAATCAAAAACCCAAACCCATTGCCATTGAGTCAATTTCGACTCATAGTGACCCTAAAGGACAGAGTAGAACTGCCCCACTGGATTTCCAAGGAGCAGCTAGTGGATTCAAACTGTTGATTTTTTGGTGAGCAGCCGAAAGCTTAACCACTGCTAAGACCCTTTTTTTTTTTTTTTGCTTAAAGAAGTGTCATTTTACTCACGTTTCTTTTCTTTATCTTTTTTTTGTTTGTTTGTTTGTTTTTACTGTTCATTTAGAGGTGCTTACCTTTAATTAGAGGCCAACAAATAGTGAACAAGATGAAATTACCACCTACTCAATCAGAACATCATATATCCTATTTTTCTTTTCTTTTTTTTAAATCACCTTCTTTTGGAAAGCAACATGATATTTCATAAATATCACTTAATTCTGTATGATGGAAGTTTTGACATTTATATTCCAGGCTTACCTCACTCTTTTAGAAAACTGTTTACAACATCATATTCTGGGATCAAATAACTCATATCATGTATAACTTCACCACTGCTTTAACATGAATTTCACTACTCATTAAAATTGTACATGAAAAAAAAGCTTACCTGGATTTCTCTTAGAAAGAGAAAAGCAATTCTGAATTGTGAGTTTGAAATCAGAAGTTCAGCCATGGGATAATGCATTGATACTATTAGAGAAGCTCTGTCTCTCAGGTACTGGTCAAAAGGTTCCAAGATCTTTAACGCAGTGAAAGATGGAGTAAAGAACATTAACATGCAATCAAGAAACCTGGGTTGAAGTCCTGCATATAGCAGGCATTCTTTCTCTCCTCTTGGAGGAGTCACTTACTTCCTACTTATTTGTAAGACAAACGTAATAAAATATGTCTCCCAGATAGTTCACAGAAGTACGGTTGTGAAGAGCAAATATACGTCATGTCTAGGTGGGTTAAAGCGTATGAACTACCCTCCAGTTATCTCTTGTCATGGTGACTGAGGAGGCAGCAGGCTCCAGCAGGTGCAGCTACTTATGTTGAAGCCTTCAGTAGCCTGTAACTTTGAGTAACCATGTGTAACAGGAGGCCTCCCCTCCCCAGGCAATCTGGGTGATGTACATACAGTAGCATAAGTGAAACAAATCTGCAATAGGCTCAACAATGGTCTCTAGAGATACCAGGTCCTAATCTTTGGAACCTGTAAATATTACCTTATATGAAAAGGACTATGCTGATCTAGTTAAAGATGTAGTGATGGGAGAGATTATCCTTGATAATGTGAGACAGTTCATGAAGGAGATATTATTTTCAAGTCATTCAATATAATTTTTCTTTCTGAGTGTTTCCCTGGCTGTAGCTGAATACTCACTGCAAATACTCAGTTTGGGGGTAGACTGCATGTGTGTTAACAATTGTTAGGATTAATTTTAATAAAAGATCACCAAAGGGATTCTGTACACAGTCTAGTTCCTGCAGTTGATGTCACATGGAGTGATGTTGTGATTTTAGAGGCTAATGCATGGAAACCAGGAGGGAGTTATAAAGACCCAGAGCTCTCAGTGAATGCCCTCCATGAGGGCATCTACAGCTTCTCATCTCAATTTTCTATGGAAGAAGCAACTATACTGCCCATGGGAATCTAAACGGCTGTGTTCAGTGCAGTGTGCACACGTTTGTTCATTACTTGTCATTTCTTCCTTTTTCCCTCACTTTTTAATTATGGATAATTTACATACAGCAATATCCACAGTTTTTGGTGTATAATTCTAACACTTAGTCTAATGTCTATGGTCATGTGACCACTACTACAATCACAATATAGAACAGCTTAATCAACTAAATAAATTCCCCTGAGTTTCTTGGCACTTTCTTCCACCCACTGCCCCTTGTAACCACTAAACTATATTGTCTTCACACAGTTTTACCAAGAATGTCTTATAAATGAAATTCTAATATTTGTAGTCTACTTTCACTTAGCTAATACATTTGAAATCCATCGATGTTGTTACCTGTATCAGTAGTGGCATCCTTTTTATTGTTGATTTGTATTCCATTATCTGACACCACGCACTGTTTACCATTCGCCAGTTGAGGGTCATTTGTGTTGGTTGCAGTGTTTAGTGATTACAAATAAAACCATTCTACACATTTGCCTATAGGGTGTGGTGTGAAAATGGGTCTTTATTTTCACTTTTCATCTGAATAAATACTTAGGAGTTGGATTGCTTGGTAGCGTTGTAAGTATATGTTTAATTTATAAGAAACGGACAAACTGTTTTCTGAAGTGGCTCTGCCATTTTGTATTCACAAAATGTATCCAGATTGTTTCACATCTGTGACAGCACTTGTAGTAAGATTTTTTAATTGAATTTTATTTTTATTTCATTTAGTTTTTTTGCTCTTTCTCAGCAAAGTCTCAATAAATCTTCTTATGAAAATCATTTTTTAAAACATACATTTGCCTTAACACTGCAGATCAGTCCTGAGAATTTTTTTCCAACAAATGAGATACAGCAATTCCTTTTTCTCTACAGTCATCTCTGAGCACCAACTCCCAATCAAACTTATTGCACCCTATTTAGTGCAAGCAAGTGTAATGGTTAAAAATTTGTTCTGTGGATTGGCCTCAAATTCAAACTTCAGCTTCTCATCT